TGGATAAAGAAAATTAATCATTTTTAATAGTTAATTGTTCGAAAATATTAGAAGCGCATAATGCCGGGTTTCCACGCTTGCCAAGTCTCGGCAAGCATCCACAAGCACAAGTGTGTAAAGAGGGCGTTTGGCTTGGCTTGCGTGAGCTTGTGGACGCTTGTCCCCGATCCGGGCTAGTGTCGGTTTTTGGACACAGATCAAATTAAATATTCGGTATGGTATGGAGAAACAAAAGCTTACCATTCTTACGTTACTTGATTTTAGTAATGCATTTAATACAGTAGATTTTGATATCTTGTTGGGCATCCTGCGCTTTCTCAACATATCTCCAACTGTAGTTGACTGGTTTCGAAGTTACTTGTTTGGTCGAGTTGACTGGTTTCGAAGTTACTTGTTTGGTCGCCGACAGCGCATTCAGGTGCAAGATGTTTTTTCCACCTGGACTACTACAGCGGCTTGCGTACCACAAGGTGGCGTGTTGTCTCCTCTCCTGTTTGCAATTTTCATTAACTCTATAAGTCATAATCTGTCCTCTTCCTACCACTTGTATGCTGATGATCTCCAAATCTATACTCAATCGTCTCTTGAAGATTTGTCTAAATCAGTTGACACTATTAACGCTGATCTGACTTGCATTTCAAATTGGAGCAAACGTTATGGTTTAACGATTAATCCCATGAAAACTCAGGCCATTATCATCGGTAGTTCTAGATTAATTGGAAAAATTGACTGGTCTTCCCTACCTCCTATTTTACTAGACTGCACTCAAATCCCTTACAGTAACAAGGTTAAAAACCTGGGGTTGTATATCGACTCTTGTATGTCTTGGACCTCACAGATTAATGAGGTTAGCAGAAAAATGTTTGTTGCTTTAAGCTCTTTACGTAGATTACGTAATTTTCTTCCCACAGTAACTAAAGTTACGCTCGCCCAACTCTTCTACTTCTATCTATCCTTGACTATGCTGACATATGCTATCGTGACATTACCGAGGAGCAGCTTAATAAGCTTGAGCGCATTCAAAATTTAAGTATTAGATTAATATTTGGGCTTCGCAAATATGATCATATCTCTGAATTTCGCAAACAGCTCAAATGGCTCCCGATCCGCCTTCGCAGGAATACTCACATTCTCTCCACTTTGTATAGCGTGCTGTTTAATCCTTCCACTCCTCATTATTTAAAAGACCGTTTCCAATATCTTTCCCTTACCGATAATCGGTTCTTTCGATCCTCCGTCAATCTTTCTCTCTCTACTCCTTCGCACTCTTCCTCCTTTTTTAAGAAATCCTTTACTGTAACTGCTGTACGTTTGTGGAACTCTTTACCTCTCCACATTCGTCGTGCTCAATCTCTTCATTCTTTCAAATGTCTTGTTAAATCGTATTACTTAGAACGCTATTAGATAAATCACTTTTCCTTTTTCGTACTCTTTTCATTTAATCTATTATATTATATCATACATAATCTTCACTTGCCTTTATTTGTATGTATTTTATATTTTTTATTTTTATTTTGTACGCCCCCCTTTATTTTTACCTATTGTTTACATCAGTTCTCTACACTAAGGTTGTCTGGAAGAAATCACTTTCAGAGTGATAAGACCGCCTGTCGTACATTTTCTAATTTAGATTTAATTGTATTCGTTTTTGTTTTGTTTTTGGTGTACAATAAAGAGTAAATAAATAAAATCAAAGGGCGCTTGCGACAAGCGCTTGCAACGCATTCACACGTTGGTGCGCGTTTAGTAACCATTGTGATTTCGCGACGAGCGCATGTTTAGTTCTTTGTTCTTGAAAGTTGCAAATGCTTGGAGTCGTTTTGCCGAGTTAATGGGAAAGCCAGTAAAAGAATTAAAAGCCAAAAAATTCCTTGTTTTTGTATTTCAAATAAAAGTATGTTAAACCAAACGCAATAGTCGACACAAGTTCGGTGTCCGCCATGCTTGGATATACGTAGCACACTGACGCATTGACAAGCGTGTAAACAACTTCCGAACGCCAAACGAGATTTGTGGACGCTTGGGGCTTGAAGACGTTTGCCGAGGCTTGGCAAGCGTGGAAAGGCACCATAACGTATCACACTCAGATCTATAATACTGTGTTATGCTTGTGTGTTATAAATAAAAGTGAGCAGTCAACACACGTTCCTAGATTGTGTTTGTGAGAGTGAAATATATATAATGTATCAGAGTCCATTCTGAGCACCCGGAAACTTACTTTATTCTTTGGAACATGTACTCTGTGGCGGCATCAAACAGTGTCAAATGTTGTGCGTTCGGCGCGGCGGCAAAGATTGTATGCAATATCAATAGAAGCCGCCGGCGCGTGTATCTTGACCTTGTAAGTACAAGGTATATACCGAATACCTGCAAAATTTCTTTGACAAGTCAGTATCTGACCTTTGATGATGCCAAGAACGAGATACCGCGCACTATCTAAGTGTCGATGGGTAAAACTAGGGATGCACTCTTTTTTCTTTTAATGGATAATTTCATTCGCTATGTATATTTATGGTATAGTTCGTAATGCGCATAAGTCCAATTTTCCAAATTGTTTTAACATATATTTTTGCGTCTCATAGAGTCCCTAACTCCTATAGTCCTATACTCCCTGAAACGACACTCAGTCTTAACTGCAAGACGCAAGAGTCTCGCAGACTTAGTCTTGTTCTTGCTCAAATCTTGCATGGTCAGTCTTAGTCATGGTCTTGCTAAAATTAGGCGGTCTTGTTCTTGGTCTTGGTCTTGCAAAAATGCAAGAATAAGAACAAGACTGCAAGACCAAGACCGATTTTGGGCAATACTAATTGAAGGCTTTCGCTATGTCAAAACTAACGGCCAACGCCCCTCCTTGGACTCTCCTGCCTCCGCCCATTTATGAGTTAGGCAACCCAGAAGATCACCAGCCGAGCGACCGCGACGGAAACCTTTCTGACGGTCACTAATTAGCTGGTGATCCTCAAGGTACCGTATGAGCTGGCTGTTAATAATGGACTCCATTATTTTAGAGAAAAAGGAGGTGATGGCGATAGGCCTATAGTTGGACGGATCAGAGCGGTTACCTTTTTTAGGGATCGGGTGCACGAAAGCTGTCTTCCATGATTTAATCCAGTCTGAAAGAGAATCTTTAATTGAGTGTGCAAATTTCTCATTGCAGGCAGTCTCCGAATGGAGCCATGACAATTTTGTGAGATTCAACGTCTCCAAACACTGACTCTTCACCGCTAAAAGAAGCCCACTTATCTTTCCGATCATCAACTATGGGAGGTTTATTAATGTCAATAAACAAGGTCAAGACGGTAAAGGTTGGCGGCAAGAAAACTGGGTATTTCATTAGGGTGCAACGGTACATCAGGCTGGGGCAGCTTCTTGCCTTAAATAATAGCGGTAACGGTGGTACATGGAATACAGTACAGCAGTATTCAACAAACAAACAGATACGTAGGCAGGTGATGCAAAATGCCACTCAGTAGTGTTGAAATCAGTGGAGAAATGTGATAAGAGGCTTATCGGTTACCTTGATTGAGTTAAAACCAATATATTATACTCGTAGTAGTCAGGCCCTTTATATTCTATATCATCTATAAGACGCTTTTTGGAGAGTGTGCGAAGAAATTATATGCAGTCCCTTTCCACCATTGGACTACTAGGTGGTTGGCGGGTCTTCACCCTTTTATTTTTTGTATAGAATAAGCGTGACAAACGAGCATACAGCCCACCTGATGTTAGATGGTTGCTCGGGCCCATAGACATCTATCCTCTGAGTTACCCCTGAGGACTAAGATGGAATGCCTCGTTTCCAGTAAAGAGGGTCACCGGTTTACCTCTTCACTCACCATACGAAACACAGCAGCATTAAGCTGCTACTTTACGCAGGTATTCATAAGTTCCTTATTGTAGTTATTGATATTCCACGCGTTTGAACCAAATGGTTAGCTTCATCTTTCGTAACGCTTACAGCAAAGAAGTGAAATAATTTGTTGCTTCTTTCTTTCTGGACATTTGAAGGCGAGAGTGAATAAATTTTTATTACGAACTCGTGACAGTAATGCCAGCTTTATTTTAATAGTTATATACCTAGATTTTAATCTAGCATTATGATTTATATACTCACTAGCTGTTCCCCGCGACTTCGTTCGCGTGTTAGGGTTTTTATGTTTCTGCGCGGAACCCTGATTCTTTTTCTTAAATAAAAGTAGCCTAAGTTACTTCTTATGAAATCAGCTATCTCCCAGTGAAAATCCCGTCAAAATCGGTCCAGTCGTTTCGGAGATTACCCGGAACAAACAGACAGACAGACAGACAGACAAAAATTTTAAAAATTGTATTTTCGTTATAGGTATCGTATTTACTTTCATATGCATTTAGTAAAAAACTGTAATTTTGATATTACAAACAGACACTTCAATTTTATTTATTTGTATAGATTGGTACTATTTAAATATGTTTTTGCGGATTTTGACCGCCGATGGAATATTGCTCCTGTAGAAACGTTTAATTAATGGTTTGAAGTGAATTTTAATACGTGAAAGTGTTGCAATTTTGTGTGTTAAATGTCTCCACATGTTATTTATAAATAGAATCGATGTTCCAAGTGCTTTGATGATTTATAAATCTCTAAGTTTTTAATCCGTTTTGGCGGCTTGAAATACTATCGTCTTCAAAGGTTCGCTGGTTTAAGTTGTTATCGAAATCTCTCAAAAACTTAAACTTAACGCAACAGCATATTGCGAAGAATTTTGTGTTTAAAATACACATCAAACTAGGTTGTATAGCCCATGACCTTTGCCTGCCTTAATTGGCAAATCGTAACAACAACATACGTACGTATTAAAAAAAACAACCGTGTATAAACTATAAAATATAAATCTAGTTTTTACTGGTTTTTACACATAAAAACTATCTAGAAATTACTAAATTACATTTTTAAAGTTAATGAGATTTTTTAAATTTCAGCACCTCAATTTACTTTTACTAGCTATGCATATGCACTCTTCGCTATGAAAGTTACCGTTAAAAGTACTTTTTCTGCTATTTTATTCCCATAAAATTATAAAAATAGTTTTGCCTGTCATTTTAATTTTTGTACTAAAATTTTAGGTTGGACTGGTGTCGCTACTTGGCGTTGGATAGCAAACGACGATAATTGCGGAATTTGTCGTATGCCCTTCGACAGCTGTTGCCCTGATTGCAAACTGCCTGGCGACGACTGCCCTCTTGTTTGGGGTGCTTGCTCACATTGTTTTCATATACACTGCATAGTAAAGTGGCTACACTCCCAACCTCAACAACAGTGTCCTATGTGCCGACAAGATTGGAAATTTAATAATAAGTGAAGATTTAGTAAGTATGAAATTTTTCACCTTACATTTTATTAGTTTTTTTTTTTTTGTAGATTTCTTTCTCTTGTTTTTTCATATTCTTTCTCCATATATTCCTTAGCTCATACCTGCAATTGAGCTGACCGTTGAAAGGTGAAAATTATACATTTTTGATTTTTGAATATGTCATATTTTTCATCAATATTCGCGAATGCTAGTACAATACTTGACGCTGGCAGAATCCATTGAAAGTTGCCAAACTAGGAAAAGAAAATTCGAATATTCGTTTTTCGTTTGGCAACAAGAATTTAATTTCCTGATAGATGGTGGAGTAATACTTAGCAAGGCATTCAATATATTACAATAGAAGTATTATGTTTGACTGCCACATTGGTTTAGGGTGAATCCCGGGTCGGACTAAAAATTTGATTTTTCTGTTGAGACACAGTAGCAGATCGGAGTTAGGAAGTTGATGGTATTTTACATCTGTACCTCATAAAGCATATAAAGTTGTAAAGCCTCAGGTCCAGCTCCTGATTTCTCTGGGTCACTCTCATAGTTCAATGGGTATTCCTATCCCATCGGACTATGGGAGTGAGGGAATTGAAAATATACCTACATATGTTTGCACATACACTGGCCACTGTGACCTAAATTTGGTTGGGTTATTATTAAATACTTAGATTGGTAATGAGAAGCGGTACCTTCTGCATCTACTTTATCAGCCCATAACAGTCTATTTATGGCACGCTTGTAATTCGGTCTGAGGTTGACGGGCTGCTTTGTGTTCACCACAGCAAATGTCTTGCACCTTTGTCACTACCGCCTATCTTGATCCTGGGTATTTACATCTTTCATATATGATTTATTCTTATAGTCACCTATTATGAGACTTACATAACTCCTTTTGCCACCACCCCAATGCAGCCTGGTATATTCTGTAGTTCATTCACTATTCAAGTGCCCCAATTTGTCAACTTCAGTCCCAGCTCCAACTTTTGAATGTTGCTTCAGCTAAATTAGCTAAATTTTGTATCAACAACCATATAGAACTAGCTAAATATTTATGTACTAAGTATTTAAGTAACATTTATACAATATTGTGATTCTGTGAGGTATGATGACCTCAATACTTTCATTGTGATATTGTCATCACTCAGTTTTTAGCCCTAGATTATTAAACTATCCTGCAAGGGACGTTACTAAACATTCATAAAAAAATACAAGATGTACGGTGATGAATGAGAAAACAGATTAAATTTAAACTTTAATTATTTTAGAAATTACAGTTACTTTCTTTGGGTTTATAAGATCACACAATAATGAAAATTGTACACATTTTTTTTAATCTACACAGTTTGGTCACATATTCATTTCATGCAAAAGTTAGTTATTATTTTCCTAGTCTTCATAGATCAGTTTTATTCAGTGTGTAGTGTTTGCGTAAATATAAGAAATCGTTATATTTGACTAATTCTTCAAGTTTTTCTTTTCTAAGAAATAAAGAGGATGTTTCACACGGTCTCAACAAAACATGATATTTCTAGAAGTAGCTCTTCTTAGCTGTCTAGGCTGTATGATCCATTTATGTCCATTTTTGCCTCGAATAACTTTTCTAGATATAGCAACCCTGAGATCATATTGCATTCTGTGTTGACTACTTTGATCAGTTTCAATGTGCATAGTCTTCAGATAAGAATCAGATACTATACACCGGTGTCGCTTTCTTAACTAGAAATAGGAACATCAGGATCAGAAGTTTCTACGATACCTGGCGTAATTGTGTATTCTTCATTATCACGATCGTTCAACTGATGTTCTTACACTTCTAAGTTGTATTCTGGCTCACTCAGTATCTCTTGCTGTTTTGCTCTCTCATCGTCCTCTTCATCATGAACAGCCGCCTCTAATAACTGACTAATTTAATCATCTCCAAGAACTCGAGACATCTGAAACAATATAGAATATTGTATATGTACATGCAAAAACAAAATAAGCCATAATCAATGCAAATTTTTTCTAAAAAGTGATAAAAATAAACAAAAATAATAAAAATAAACAAAAATAATAAAAATAAAAAAAAACAACTTACCTTTGTTGACTCACGCAAACACTGAACTTTCGTAAAATTTACGACATGCTTGCTGTAATTCAACACACAAATAATACTCGACCACTACGACAGCGTGTGGCACACTGACGGGCGTAATTAGGAAGGTACACTGAAGCTGGGGACAGAGGAATGACGCGAACTTCGTTTTTTCTAGGTATCATGATTTTGCCGTGGTAATTTTTACGATAGCGTAGTAATCTAGGGTTAAAATACCTTCGAGAATCCTTAAAAGTGGTGTGTCTAATGTTTAAAAAATGTCAGCCTAAATAGAATAGTTGATTATCACTTAATTGAATATTAATTATCTCTTCTTCTCTCTTTCTATTATCATTTTGTGAAATGAGAAAGATCTACTTTCAGCATTTCTTAAATTGCCCTGTGTTATTATGATTGTACTTTATAAACATTATTTAGTCAAATTATCCAGTTTTTTTATTCAGTGAATGTTATAAGTTGTAATTTAAAAGATTTATATTCCCTTAAAGGCAAGAATAATCATAGAGAAAGAAAAAATTTACGACTACTATGTATCAAATACAAAATTTATATTATTTTGATGTACACCTTCATAATCTAATCGATGGAAATCGAGGATATCTTTTGTAATTTATTTACTGGTTATACATGTTGGACTTGACCATCTTGTTATATCGCTTGGCGAAAATGGCTTATGAATATTAGACTTAAAAGACGATTAGATGAAGTCAACAGACTAGGGTTGCATAACCATCTTGGTCTTACACCAAACGCCTCCTTGTCTTAGTGTTTGCATATATTTTTTAAACAAAAGAAATAAGATAAATGATACGATGTGACTCAAAAAGAAATCATTGGGACATTGCAAGAGATTAGGGGCTTATACCGATGAAAATCTTTTAAGAAATTTTTAGTATTTATTGTTTTATGATAAAATTTGATGTTAAGTTTGTGCTGTGGTTCGTAGACATTTATACCCAATTAAGAATACAGATGTGTTGTCACCCCTGAGGACTAAGATGGAATGCCTCGTTTCCAGTAAAAAGAGTCTCCAGTTCTCTACACTCACCATACGAAACACAGCAGTGTTAAGCTGCTCTTTTACGCTAGTATTCTGTGAGAGCGTAGTCCTACTCCGGTCGAGCCGAACCATTCGTACAACAATTTAGCTGCAGCGTAGCTCTACCACATTACCATTTTATGAAATAGTTACTTCAGGGGTGATCTCATTATTTAGAGAAAAATTGCGCCTCAATAGCGGATGAAGTTTTTAATTTAACTATTTAGACGACATTTAAATTGTAATATCCCTTAGTCCACTCAAAAGGATAAAAAATAACTTTTAATAAAAAGTAAACGCCGACTTCAAAGATCTAAATAGAATAAAATAATTTCACATTATGAAATCGCAGATTTCGTTATTCTGTACTTAGCTTGTCAGAATGCGAAATCATATTATTCATTTTAGTTATATGAAGTCTGCTTTTACTTTTTATTAAACTTTAATTAATAAAATAAAAAAATTAACATTTAATGTTAATTTTTATTACCCACTCGTTTAAGTCTAGGCAAGACGCCTTAATTAACAGAGTTTAACGTCAACTTTCGTAAATTGTAGGCGTTAATGCATCTTTCCACACTTTTATTTATGAAATTGTGTTAAAAAATTATCTCGGTGTAGGTAATTAACTATTTGACTTGTCTGTTACGGATTATAACGCTCAAAATGATAAATAAGCATTAAAGAAGTTAAATAGGAGTAAAAACTATATAAACGTGATTTAATAATTCTAGTTTACTTATTATAAAAACGTTCTCGCTTATTATATTAGTTTCAACTTCAATTAATTTCGTTTTCGCAAGCGTCTACCATCAGTAACGTTCTGATGGCCGAGAACAATAGGCCACTAAGTAAGTGCTTTTACATTTAAACTTAGACAATAGACCACCATGCAACATGGCGTGTGCTGCCGGTAGCCGGTATTGCGCCCATTCTCATAGTAAACAATCACTTTTACAATATTTAAAGTGTGGGTCAACTCATTGTATCCGTGTGGTACGAACTTCGTAAACAGCTAAAAATTGCATTGCTGCTGCTTGTGATATGCGAAAACGTATCTTAATACGGTACAGTAAAGTTCAATAAGTATGTATAAGACAAAGCGGTGTGTCGGCGAAGGCGGACTATAGTCGCCTCAGCGGCTGAGCGTCAGTCAGCCGCGCGCCCTGGTGGGGACGAACGCGTCCACACGATAGCGTTCGCGAGTGTCGTGACTTTCGTGCGGGGAGTGCTGTGCTCGCGCTCATTATACTATAGTGCCCATATTTATAGTATTGTACGAGTGAGGCCTTGTTTAAGCATGCTGATGGTACAGACAAACGCGCAGCCCATGAAGACTAACAAAATAAAAGGGCCTCCCCCTGTACCTCCCCGGCCTAGCCAGAGCTTAGTGGCTGAAGCTCTGGCCAAAACTAGGAAGGCCGTGACAGAATCCAAATCTAGCCTCTCCAAGTCCCGAGCTTCATCTAAACAAGATTTAAACAATGTTACAAAAGCCAAAACTTTGGAAAGATCGTGTGCCGCAAGCCAACAAAGCGTATCGTCTAAGGCAAATGGACTTGCACGAGTCAAATCTTTTATTAGGGATGTTATAAGTGATCGTAGCTCATCTTCAGACGAGAGGAAATCGAGCGGTCAAAACTCCAGAAGAAGTTCAAGCGATAGCAATTCCATTCAAGGGTCAGCATCTGCAAAAAGATCGAATGAGTCTTTAAACTCTAAAGCGGCAAAAACGTGCAGACAAATTTTGGTGCGATCCCTTTCTACCTCAAATAAGTTAGATCAAGATTCTAAATGCAAAGTTTCAAAGTCGTCCAGTTTTGTAGAGAAAACCCTGCCCTTAAGAAAAGCACCCCCACCACCATTGTCTCCAAAGCCTAAATTAAAACCAATGAAACCTTTACCTGTAAATAAAAATGTATCAAACCAAAATAAACACAAAAAACAGTTAACCGAACTTAGTCCATATTCTCTGCCAGTAGATGCGAAAAATGAATTTGTTGTTGTCCCGGAAGCGCCGTATGCAACTGTTGACGAAGTTCAAGAATTTGACGACAGATTAAGAAATAGCCCATCGAGGCAAACTAACAATGCGTTTGATACCCAAAACGTTTATGACAATTCCAAGAATGAGGATCCAAATAAAAACAGCAATTCCCTAGAGCGTAAAACTTCCCGTGTAACCGAAATGCTTATTTCGGAGATCCTAGCGGGTCGAAACAATAACATAGGCGAAGCGAACACAGTTATAGATAAGGGTAAGAATTCCACGAACTTGACCAACGGCAATGTTTCGCCCGATATCATGAAGGACATGAACAATCATGAGATGTTAATTTATGAGCTGCAGACAATGCGATCTCAGTCCAACGTTCCCGTAACTGTGGATGAAGAGGAGCCGTCGCAGAAAAGTGAACAGTGTGACTCGGACTCAGAACCTAATTATGCTATGTGCTCGGTGACTAGTGAACAAACAGACGATACGTATGATCAGGCATATTCTTATATCGTAGATGACGATCTTAAATCTAGGTAAGACAGTATCTGAGTAGATTCAAACATTGTTTTTAGATGCCGAATAATTATATTATTAAAATAGACGCGGTAGAGCTGTGCTGCAGCTATATTATGGTTGTACACGAATGGGTTGACTCGACCGGGGAAGGATCACGCTTTCATAGAATACTAGCGTGAAATAGCAGAAAATTAAAACGACAATTATTAAAATATGACGTTGTAAATAATGCTTAATCCAAATAGTAAATAAGTTTAATGTTAATAACTTGCATTTAAATGGCACTTAAACGAAAAGTATGAATTTCATGATTCCAAATGTCAAACATTTAAATAATATACTAATATTAAATGGGGAGGAACTGAATCTTGTCGATACCACCATTTTTCTTGGAATAACACTAGACGCGAAGCCCCCATATATCAAAATTAGCAAGCACTTAGTTCTGCAGCATATGCTGTTAAAAAGATTAGAAATCTTACCAGTGTGGAAATAGCTTGACTAACTATTTCCATAGCATAATTTCGTCTGGTATTTTGCTATGGAGACACGCGACTGACACTGAAATAATATTTGTTTTACAGAAAAGGGCCATAAGAGCAATCTAAGATTTAAAACCTAAAGAGTCGCTGCGACAAAAATTTAAGGAAATTAATATATTAACTTTGGCCTCTCAAAACATTTATGAAAATGTAATACGTACTTTTATTTTTGTGTACGTACGTACACAAAAATAAAAGTAGTTTTACAAAAATAAGTGATATTCATTGTGTAAATACTAGGAACAGACATAAGTTAGTAGTACCAGTTACTCGACTCCACTGAGTCAGTAATTCATTCTTAGGGCGATGTATTATACACTTTTAGAACAAAATCCCAGAAAATATACAATATTTGACCTGCTTAAAGTTCAAAAACTTTATTAAACTAAGTTTGTATAAAAAGGGTTATTATAATGAAAAGTTATATAATGGGGTGATCGCTACCAAGCTATTTCTAATTTGTTTTGTGTGGTCAATTGTGTAACATACATGATTGTAAGCTGTTATTTAAGAAAAAGTCCCGCTGGGTTTCTTGCTTCTTCTTCCCAGGACAGAGGTTTTCGAAATAGTGGTAGTTAAACAAAAGAGTGACTTTCAATAAGTATTATTTTATAATCTATATTGAATAAAAAAGTTTCCGTTTGTGTTTCAAAAACTTTTGTTGTTTCGTATAGTGATTGTATAGAACCGGAGACCCTTTTTAATGGCAGCAACACATTCCACCTTAGTCCTCAGCGGTGACAACGCATCTTCATTTTGATTCTTAATTGAGAAAGATATAGATGGGCAATGGGCAAAGACAAAATGACGTAAGCTTGTAATATTCTTTGTATTTAACAAATCTGTTAAAATACTTCTCCAATTGAATTAAAAACCTGTTCAAAGCATTGAGGTGACTCATTACAATATCTCAAGGTACTGTTGTAGATTTATGTAAACGGAATAATATTCCAGGCGCGTTATAGCTTATTATTTTGTTTGTGTGTTCTGTGGTACATGGAAAGGTCACCTGACTCAAACACTAACAATAATGCACCGGTTCGGTAACTCTATTAACATTCTGCTGTTACAACACTGTGTCAAGGTTTTTAGGATTAAACGAAAAAGTATTCCGCATTGTATAGTTCTTGGTAATGTTGCTTGTATTTTCTTATTATCTTTCTGTACTTGTCAATATGTGTTACTGTGTAGTGGGGGCTCTCTATAATGATGAGTAATCAATATGGATAAATACACCGATAAGAACACTTATCTTATACTCACAAATATATTCACTTTTAAACTAACTTCAAAAAGGTGGTACCCAATTCGACGGTATTTTTTTGTTACCTCATAACTTTTTTCTAGTTGAACCGATTTTGATGCTTATTTTTTTATTTAAAATCTGGAATTTTTACGTGGTCGCATATAAATTTGATCATGGACTTGTTATGTCTATAACTAGCGATCCTCCCCGGCTTCGCACGGGTGATTTCTGGATCTCGACAACAGCGCCACCTACCGGTTCCAAATGTCTAAACCATCTAGGGACCCATTCAAACACACACAAATTTCATCAAAATCGGTCGAGCCGTTTCTGAGTCTTAGCGAGACTAACGGACAGCAAGACCCTTTTTACTGGCAAAGAGGCATTCCATCTTAGTCCTCACGGGTGACAACGCATCTGCATCTTGAGTCTTTATTGAGGATAGATGTAGATATCTATGGGTCACAGTAACCACTTACCATCAGGTGGACTGTGTGCTCGTTTGTCACCCGATCCTATAGAAAAAAAAACAGCAATTGATTTTTATAAAAATAGATTAAAGTTACCTTTGCTTTTAAAACGTTTTTATTATCTTTTTTACACACATCATCATCATCATCATTACCGCCCTTCACAAGTCCACTGCTGAACATAGGCCTCCCCCAAGGAATGCCACAAAGCACGGTCCTGAACCACCTGCATCCATCGACTTCCTGCATATCTTACCAGGTCGTCACTCCATCTAGTGGGGGGACGCCCTACACATCGTCCGCTGTTACGAGGCCGCCACTTGAGAACCTTTTTTAGGGTTCCGTACCTCAAAAGGGAAAAAAGGCACCATTATAGGATCACTTTGTTGTCCGTCTGTCTGTCTGTCTGTCTGTCAAGACCCTTTTTCTCAGGAACTCGTGGCGTCTAAGCCAACGGAATCAAAAGATACAGCCGTTTATGCCGCAAATTTTCGACATTCGCAAGGGAATCAAAAACTACAGGGTACTTGCCGTCAACTCAGAATCTTAAAATTTGCACAGATAAAGGAAAAATTGCGAAAAGCATAAAAAAAATCAATGTTCGTTTATAAGCTACCGCTTGTAAACTTAACTTTATTTGATTTATCCTACTTACCTTTATTTCATGTCATTAAAAACCTAAAGAAAATCGACGTGCTCTGAAGATGATGTAGAAGCAAAGTGATTTAGCTATATGTATAAAATTTTAAAGCATATTAAAACTATTTTTGTAGCAATTTATGTTGAGTTGACCTCCTATGTAAATTGATTTCCTTTATCCATTGCCTAAGTTACAAGATCTAGGGAAAATAGACTCAAAGATCAAGTTAGCAAGAGCAAAAATTAAGAGAGCTGTATAAAAAATTAATTTAATTAAAGAGAGATGAGGTACACATACGATATAATTAACGAGTAGCACTTTAACCTACGTGTAAGTTTTATTTTACTCATAAAAACTTAGTTACCAGCCTATATACGTCCGCTATGTCCGCCGCGCAGCCTCAGTGCGCGTTCGCGAACTTCACACATTTATCTTCGAAATATTTTTCTTATTTGTCAGACATGCGAGGAAACCTCACGAAGTTTTCCTTCACCGCTGAGCACGTGGTAATCAGCACTTTTTTTTTTATAGGATAAGGGTGACAAACGAGCACAGTCCACCTGATGGTTAAGTGGTTGCTGCGGCCCATAGACATCTACATCTATCCTCTATTACAAATCAAAATGTAGATGCGTTGTCACCCGTAAGGACTAAGATGGAATGCCTCATATCCAGTAAAAAGGGCCTCCGGCCACCTGCACTCACCAAGCGAAACGCAGAGGTAAATCTCTACTTCACGCTGGTTTTCTGTGAGGTCGTGGTACCACCCCGGTTCGAGCCGGCCCATCCGTGCGACAGCAAAAGCTGCCGCGTGGCACTACCACTGTTATCTATTTAGAATTGCAATTAACAATTTCGTTCGTGCCGGCAGGGATCGAACCCAGGTTGCTCGCGTACTGTGAAACTAGATTGGCCTACTATTAGCACCAAAGCTACCACGGCTCATTAGTTTTAACCATGCATAAATCGAATTCTTAGGTGTATAATATATAATATGTTTGATTAATGGCTGGTGTGTAGTTTTTAGCCGATAGTTTACGGTTTAGCACGGAAAAAGATAACCTTGGCCTACTCTCAAAACTAAATCAAAAGTAAGCAGGCAAATCTAAAGTTTATTTACATTAACATTAGCCTTAAGACAACAAGAAACAAATGTTTTTATAATTGGATTTAAGGTACACTTACTTACTTACTTACTTATCTTCACGCACAATCCCTGACGGGGTAGCCAGAGAGAACAGATCGCCAAGTGTCACGATCCTTACATATCTCTTTCGCTTCTTTCAGATTCATTATCTTCTTCATACATGCACGTCTAGGTATCCGAGTACTCTTGACCCTACCCTCTTCGAGCAATTTGCTCACATGGTCTTCGAAAGTTATTCTCGGTCTACCTCGACACCTTTTAATATTAACTTTCGCGCTATATATTTTCTTCACCATTCGGTCTTCACTCATTCGTTCAACGTGCCCAAACCACCGAAGCACGCCCTTATCAATTTTTGTGATAAGGTCATGTTTCAAACCTGCCATATTGCGAATCTCTTCGTTTCGCTTTCGGTCGGCCATATTAACGCCGCACATTTTACGAAGAGATCGCATCTCCACTGCATTCAACTTACTTTTATGCTTCTTCTGGCATACCCAGGTTTCGCTGCCATATAACAAAGTCGGTACCAACACTGCGTTATGTATTGCAAGGCGTGCACTCTTCGCTACGCCTTGCCTTTTGACTAACGCAGTCAGGGCACCATTGACTTTGTTCCCGGCAGCGACACGCCTGTCCACATCTAAATCACATCTTCCATCCCGGCTAAAAGCACTCCCCAAGTATACAATTTCATTTACCTGTTCTAGACATTCCTGATTTACCCATATTTCACACTTCGTTCTCTCTTCGTCCCTTTCAAATACCAGCGCGTTGCTAAACGCGGCAGAATGCTAAGGTACACTTAAATATATTTTTTTATAGAATAAAGCTGACAAGCGAGCACACAGTCCACCTGATGGCAAGTGGTTGCTGTGGCTCATAGACATCCTACATCTATCTTCGATTACGAATCAAGATGCAGATGTGTTGTCACCCGTGAGGACTAAGATGGAATGCCGCTTTTCCCGTAAAAAGGGTCTCCGGTTACATTAAAGTTAGCCTTAAGACAACAAGAAAAAAATGTTTTAATAATTGGATTTAATAAGGTACACTTAAATAATTAAATAAATAATTTCAAAAATATCCTTTTTTATTAATGTTGGCCTGAATTGATTTTCGTTTATATTATAAGTAATTATTTAGTGACATGTGATAAAGAGATGAGTTGTATTTTTATAAAGTAGGGCTATGTGCTAATTTTTATTGTCAAAAATACAGCGATAACAATGTGTATAACTGTTTATAACGTAATTGTTTATAGTGAGTTTCGGTTTGAACGTGATTTCATATAGCTTTTTCTTTTGTTGCCAGGCTCCGTAAGCAATTTCGTGCTATCAGCACAATGTCACTGCAAGGCCTTCCACCTCTGCCAAAAAGCCTGAGCGGATTCGCAGAAGGGGAATCCGATATTTGCGAGTCGCCCACCAATATGGATGAGGCGCCGCCAACAGACCTCGATTCACAACTGACTTATTTAAAGAAGGAAATGGTGAGTGTTTTCATTTTTTTATATATAAGTAATGACAAATTAATGTAAGAATTGATTAAAAATATTTAAAGAGTGAGAAAAGCGCATTTTTTAGACTAGAAATTCTGATAGGTATATATCCAAAGTACCAAAGTTTTAATGTATTAGAAGAAGAATTGATATCGGTGTAAACTAAAGAGAGGAATTAGCCGCGTTTTTTGTTTTGGAATGGTTCATAATTTCATAAATTTACAAACGTATTTCTAACCACACAACGCCTGCAACTTTACACGGCGCTGGTTCGGCCTCACATGGAATACTGTTCCCATCTCTGGGCTGGGGCTCCCCAGTGCCATCTCCTTCCACTTGACCGCATCCAGCGCAAAGTGGCTCGAATCGTCGACGACCGAGTCCTTTCCGATCGGCTCGACTCATTGGCGCTGCGAAGAGATGTTGCATCTCTGCATTTTCTTTCGCATTTACCACGGGGAGTGCTCTGAGGAATTGTTCGGATTAATCCCAGCCGCCAAATTTCACGAACGCACATCGCGGCAGAACTCCCGATACCATCCACACCATCTGGATGATTGGCGGTCCACCACCGTGCGATTCAGAAGATGTTTTCTTCCTCGCACAACTTCCTTGTGGAATAGTTTACCAGCAGCGATTTTTCCGGACCGATACGACTTAGGGACGTTCAAGAAAAGAGCCTACTCCTTTTTAAAAGGCCGGCAACGCATCTGCAATTCCCCTGGTGTTGCGGTTGTTCATGGGCGGCGGTAGTCACTTACCATCTGGTGAGTCACATGCTCGTTTGCCCCCTCTCCTATATAAAATAAAACCAAAACTCGTGAAAATACAAGAATTTTAACTCTAATTTATGTTAGCGCTGTAGAACTTTTACTGCACTAATTTCTTTATAATTAGTTTTTTTTTAAATTCGTCTCGTCTTACAAATGCAGCATCCGAACAAAAATGTTTTTATGATATACCATTAACAGGCGTATTAATGAGATCCACACTTGTCAAAATAATAACTCTGTGGCAAGTCTGTGGTCAATTCAGTGAACGTTCACTGGGTGAATTGAATTAAAGTATCGTAAAGTTAACATGTCAATAAAATTTTGATAGCTCATAACGTTTAGGTGTTACATCCCGATATTGTAAAGAGCATGTTCATATTCCTACGCGATTTTAACCGACTTACAAAAAAGATAACGACACACCTACGTAAAGAGAAGTTATAATTAAATTTGAGTTTGCTTATACGTAAACTAGGAATCATATTAGAAGAAATGTGCTTACAACATAATTTCAACTGACTTCAATATAAATTATTAAGAATAGTCAGGTCAGACCTTCATCAAATATATATGGGAGTATACAATATACATGAGAAGCATTCAGCTTGCAAATAAAAGAATCATCGGAATCGGTTCACCCAGAAAAAAGTTATGAGGTAACACAAATAAAAAAAAACATACAGTCGAATTGAGTACCTCCTCCTTATTGAAGTCGGTAGAAAAGAAGTCATAAAAGGGGTAGATAGGCGTATAGATTTTAATCATAAATTGATTTGATCAGTATCTATTTCAGACAGAGATGTCTATCTGATGAACTATTGCAAATTCAATATGTCGAATTGCAATTTGTTGCATTATATTTATCTGGGGCCTGATAATTTTAATTGTAGAATAGTATAATGGGCACATAGTACAAATATTGTTGCGTAAAATGATGTTAATTCGAACATACACTTGCTTAAAAAACAGATGCGTTCGTTTTTATCGCCACTAATCTGTGGAGCAGTGGTTCCGTTCGCATTCTGCCGCGTTTAGCAACGCGCTGGTTTTAGAGGAAGCCACCAATTGATTTATCGTCGATTCAGATATTAGCAAAAGAGTTCAACAGATGGAGATTTAACAGATGGTCAAACCAAATGACGTAGTTAAACTAACTTCACCTTATGTCTACACGAATTCTACGTATTCAATGATACTAATTTTATATTCTATGTTTAATTTCCGAAGTTTCGGGAAATACTGAGCTGTTTGACCTCCCGTTATAGTTAACGAAGGCTGCCCACAACTTTTAAATATAAGTTTTTTTGCTTCGATCCGCACAGAACGATCTTACAGTATCTTGAAGTACCTATAGTAGGTATGTTTTGATTTGGGTTTAATTTGATTAATTATGGGATAGTGATTTTTTATATTTACACAAATACTACACATTGAATAAAATTATTTTTACGGGTTTTATCCATAATATTCAAAACCAGAAGGTAGCCGAGCTAACTTGACATCGGGAAGTCAAACATCTCAGTCCTCCCATGACCATATGTGCTGTAAAGCACCCGAAACGTCAGGAATTTAAATAAGTCAATTAAATGAATTGAAATGAAATATTTATTTGCAATTGGTTAAGGTACATTGAAGATGGTCACAGTAATTAAACATCCGCTTAATCAGAGCCATTATTAATAGCATGCAAATCTTTAAAACCATTAAATATCGAGATAATAATATTTAAGAGTAGTGATTATAACAAAATGTCAACAGGTAGTCAATAAATAGGAAATAAACCTAGCAAGCTAACAACATAGCAAAGTGGCGAAGCAATCAGCTTTGTAGCGGTTTCTAACGGTTGCCGGTGAGTAATCAGTTTCAAAATAGGAGGTTCAGATGCCTGGGTGATCAGTAATCGATTGCTGAAAACAGAATTTGAAAATTCGAAACCGTTCTCGAGATAATCGTGGGACAGACGGACAGATGGACAGACATCGTGAAATCAATAAGTGACTTCGCAAGCTTCGCCACTTAATAATTAATAAACATTTCGTAATTGATCCATTAAATATGTTTGTCAAGTTCCTATTACCAAAATGCGACAAAATCCGTAAAAATAGTTTTGTTCAATAAGTAGCTTTTGCCCGCGACTTCGTCCGCGTAGATATTATACTTTAAACCATAGGTGATCCATCAATAATCGCACTTTCATAGTAAATTCCATCACCCTCTTTAGGGATGATTTATGTGATCAAAGCTATCCTATTTCCTTCCCCGAGACTTAAACTATCTCGATACCAAAGTTAACTTAAATCGGTTCAGCAGTTTAAGCGTGAAGAGGTAGGTACATTTGCTCACTTGGCGATGAGCGATGTTTTCCCCCACCGCACAATTTTATATCGTCGTTACTTTTAAAATATTTAACCAAGTTACGTAGTTTAAAAGACAAAGTGTATCTTACATTGAACATCAGAAGCGATTAAAGTATTTATTTTGATAAGACCCAATGTTTACTGCAAAATGTGCATTGGAAATAAAGTATCAAATTCTATTTTATTTATGGTCAACTATTTTGGTAATAATGGCTTACACACAACAGATAGATATAATAAACTGCCGCGGACTTTTTTGTAGAACTATTTAGGAGAAACAATTCCACCATACATGATATTTGTGTAACTCTTACAGTTTTTGCACCGCACGCTAAAATAGCTCGCAGATGACAGATTTTGTTCCGACTTAATACCTTATCGTTATATTTTCTGCCGACTTCCAAAAAGGAGCCGGTACTCAATTCGACTGTATGTTTTTTTTTTTTCGTTTTTTTTTTATGTGTGTTACTTCAGAACTTTTTTCTGGGTGAACCGATTTCGATGATTCTTTTTTTATTTGAAAGCTGGTACTACTCGTGTAGTCCCATATGAATTTGATCAAGGTCAGACCAATAGTTTTTAAGTTATTCTTAAATAACTTATATTGAAGTCGGCTGTACAAAATTTTTAATTTTAAATTATGACTAATGATAATGACAAGTATGAGCTATATTATTGTAAGGTTTCATTAAAATTCATTCAGTAGTTTTTGCGAGGAAGGGTAACAAACATCCATACATACTGACAAACTCACGTTTATACTATTAGTAGGATAGTAGGATTGTGGGATACCAAGCAGGTTGTAGCGCCCAGCCATATTCTTTATTAAAATTAGGATGTTTTTGCCCTGCGCATGTGCAACATAATGCGTAAAATTAGTTTTACTCAATAACTTTATATTTATTACACCACTAAGGCTTATCTACTGTCAATAATTGTGCTATCAATTTAATTGAACATCAATTTGCTTTGTTAATTTCTATTGGAACGTGATAAATGTGAATATAATGAATGAATAGCAATAAGTAACGAAGTAAGTACAATATTTTAAACCGACTTGAAAAAGGAGGTGGTTTAAACATATCGACTGAACTTTTTAATGCCTATTCTTCGGCGTCAAGACGATGTCAACTATCCCACATAGTTCATTGATTCATAGTGGGCGTAGATTAGTACAAACGCTATTTTTATTCAGTAAACTTAATTTTTTTTTTCAAAAATAATTATTGATATCTGCTTAGAGCATGCTTGCTTATATAACATGACAATATAACAATACACATGTGTATTGTTATATTGTCATGTTTGTGTCATTTTAAATTCGCGTTTAGTTATTTACGTCTACCCTCTTCTTTTTTTAAAAAAAAAACGTTACCCCCACACTAGGATTTTCTCCTGTGTCGTGGAGGCAGTTTACTAACATAAATTGCACAAGGACAAACATCCAGACCCGGAACAATTATTTGTAGGCCATACAAATACTTTTTCCGTGCGGGATTCGAAGCCGCGGCCCCCAGCGCAACAACTGATTGCTGAGCTACTGCGCCACGGAGCCGTCATTCTCATCATCATCTTCTATTTAAATACTATGGTTTTGTTAGTGAAGCAATTGCCATAAACTGTTATTTGTATGCGTACTCGTTATGTATTCAAATACAAAATACGAGCATGAAGCTTACTGTACTCACTAACTATATACTTCACTGCATCGCAATATCTTTAAATGGGTTTATATTGTACTTTTGGTGAATATTGGGAAACGGGTAAAATGAATTACGAATATCTAACTAGGTAATAAAAATAATCTTGTCATCTTTCAGGTTACGTTTTTCATTACAGTCACACACTTTTCCTTCAGGTC